AATGTTTTTTCAAGACTGTTTTTCCAAGGTCTATGGGTGGTAGCAGTAGGAAATTCTTCCTACTTTTCTTTATTTCTTTTTTTATGTATTTAGTACAGGGCCTACAGGGTCTCACTATGTAGATCAAACACATAGTGATCTTCCTGTTTTCAGTCTCCCAAGGGCTGGAATTACAGGTGTGCACCACCACACCCAGTCTCCTACTTTTGACCATACCTTGTATAGATATCATGAAATAGAACTTTGAGGATTGCTTTAGAAAGTGTTAATGGCCATACTCCCAAAATTGCTGTACAGATTTAATGCAATCCCTATCAAACTACCACCAACATACCTCCCATGCCTAGAGCAATCGTTCCTAAAATTTATTTGGAACCAGAAAAGACCTAGAATAGCAAAGGCAATCCTGGGCAACAAAGGCAAGGCAGGAGGCATTACAATCCCTGACCTGAAATTATAATACAAAGCTACTGTGATAAAATCAGCATAGTACTGGCAACAAAATAGACCTGAGGATCAATGGAATAGCTTAGAAGATGCACAAGCCTCTACCAACACACTCAGCCACCTGATCTTCAACAAAGCATCCGAACATTTTTACTGGAAGAAAGATAGCCTCTTTAACAAATGGTGCTGGAAAAACTGGCTCTCTACATGCGACAAACTACAACTTGACCCAGGTATATCACCATGCACTAAGCTAAAGTCAAAACAAATTAAAGATCTAAACATTAAAACAGAAACACTAAATCTCTTGGAAGAGAAAGTAGGAGGGACTCTTGAAGACATAAACCCTTATGTCATGGCAAAGAGTTCATGAATGAAAATCAAATAGCACTGGTACTAGTTGAAAGAATTAACAACTAGGACCTCCTCTGATTGAGAAGTTTTTGCATGTCAAAAGCAATTGCCAACAAAGTGAAAAGACAACCCACAAATTTGGAAAAAATCTTAACTAATAAGCACTCAGACACAGGGCTGCTCTCTAAAGTTTATAAAGAACTAAAAAACATTAGGCCCCCAAAATTTAAAGACCCAATCCAAAAATAGGCATCCGAGATGAAAACACACTTCACAGGGGGTGAAATTAAAGAAGCAAATAAATATATGAAAAAATGCCCCACATCACTAGCCATCTGTGAAATGCAAATTAAAACAACACTGAGTTATAATCTCACCCCAGAAAGAATGGCTATTATAAACAAATCAACTAACAACAAATGTTGGAGAAGCTGTGGGGAAAAAGTAATTCTCCACTGCTGGTGGGAATGTAGACTGGTGCAACCATTATGGAAATCAGTGTGGAGACTCCTTAAAAAACTAGGACTGGAAATCCCATTCAATCCAGCTATCCCCCCTACTGGGAATTTTGCCAGAGGAACTTAAAACGTCATATCATAATGATATATGTGCACCTATGTTTATAACAGCACAATTTGTCATAGTCAAATCTTGGAAACAACCAACATGTCTGTCACCTGAGGAATGGTTCAAAAAGATGTGGTATTTTTATACAATGGATTATTACTCAGCTATAAAGAATGATAAACTTGAAGCATTTATATTTAAGTGGATGCCACTGAAGATATACTCATAAGTGAAATAAACCAGACCCACATATGTAAATATCATATAGTGTCCCCTGTATAAGAACTCAAAAGAAGAAATATAAATAGAAAGGTATAGCACAATTAAGAGGAAAGTGAGAACTTGAGGATTAGATAACAAAGAGTGGGCAAGTAGAAAAGAAAGGAAACATAGCAGGGTCAAAACCATACATTTATATGTACAAGATGTGTAAGGCAATGATTCTGAGAAATATCAGCAGGTTTTTGAAACTAGCAGTTAATTAGTAGGATTTTCATTCTGACTATATACGCTGATACCTGGGAACTAAGCAACTGCACTGAGGATAGCAACGTGTAATAGTAGGGTCATCCTTGGAAGGCCTGTCATTCTGGTCTTCTAAATACGTACTTCTTGTCATGACATACCAATTATTATCATACTGTCTCTCAAGTAAAATTTTTTTAAATAAATGCTAATAAATGAAAATAAAGACACAAGAAAAAGAAATGTCACAGGACTGTCCTGCTACATGCTGTATATGGTTAGATTTCTAAATTTCTGTGTAAAACTATGTAAGTGTTTATTTCTTTTTTTACGTTTTTTTCTTCATATTCTGTAGGGACTTAAAGTTTAACATATCAATGCTTGATGGAAAATAGCTGTTCCATGTTATGCCTACGATGTTTGATATTTAGACAGATAGTTAGAGTAAACCGAACTACATATGTTACAGGGTAATAATGAGCTTCTCTTCTGGAGCATTAACAACCTAAGTTTGCAGATCAAAAATTAGAGAAAAGGAAGGGCTGCAAGGTCAGCTAACATTTTGGCCCTAGTCTTTCAAGGTCAGTGAAGACTCAGAAGATAGGAGAACCTATACTGCGAAATCATATAATTCAGTTGTGTCCCAAACTTTCTGATCAAGGAGATTATGGAGGTACAGAGGAATATGATTGATGATGTATAGTGTGCTTAAGGAGAGTCACATGGAGAGAAAACATTCTCTCAGGCTTTCACAGAAAACAAATTGGTCAAACAACGACTGTGACTCATTCACATGGCTGACCCTGACAAAGGATCTACAACGTGCAGTACAGGGTTACAGGATAAATCCCGAGGGACTTGACTGACCTTATCAGATACAAAAGTTACATTTCATGTTATATAAGTCTTGCTTTATCTTGGTCTTAACCATCCAGCAGAAAAGTATAAAAAAGAGGTATAAAGTAAAGCCATATTAATAGTAAAGGCTCAAGTCAACAACTTCTGACATTGACAGTCCTACGGATAATCCACTAGTATTATGGACTACTGGACTATATTGGAATATTTTCCTGAATTTACTTGCTTACAATATTTAAATGACAGTGGAATATCTTTCTCTGACAAAACTAAACAAAAAAAGGGGTACAAATGAATGACCATATTGTATCTGTATATTCAAAATAGTTAGGATAGATATACAGCTACATTCTCTTAATTCAATGAATAAAAAGATTTGTTCTAGTAGGACAGGATATCATGTCTGCATCTTTTACAATGAATAACCACTAAGACAACCATATGCAATGTATTTATTTATTTATTTTTTTTTCTTTTCAAAGTTTTATTGATAAACATACAGCAATGAGACAGTTTCAAATCAAATCGAAAGTACAGTTTCAACAAATAATACACTGCATATATTCTTCTTAGTGGTTAAT